AAAATAAATTAACGGGCTCGTCATGTTGACACAAAGGCAATCCACCCTTTTGAAAGCATAAGAAAATACTAGTAAATGACATGAAGATTAAAAGAAATTATGAATCATTGAACTTCAAGCAAATGAATTTAATGAAACAAGGTGGCATTGACTTGACTTTGTTAGCTTGAAGACCTCTTCACCTTGTACCCAACTACTAGTAGCCTTAGTTTTCTTATCAACACTTTGATCATCTAGGCGTGTGGTGGGATGGAGTTCGGATTCTTTCACTCTTTGATCAGAAATCTTGCATTCGAACCTTATGAATATCTAAATGAATTTCTGCGCTATTTATTTAGTAAGCGATCGTATGATAGGGTGTATAAGAATAGTGCTAAATAATGTATATTTGTAATGCAGAGTTAGTAATGCAAGCATCAGTTATGCAGAGATTATTTCTTATCCACTGTTTGGTGTGGTATATTAAAAATAAAATGCATTGCGTAATTTTTAAGAAAATTAGTTGTTCACAAAAACGTCCTCCATATTCTGTAGTTTCAAGGGACTTTAAGAACAATCACTACTAAAAAATCAGGTTTTAGCGACGGAAAAAATCTGTAGCTAAACAGAAAATCCCTCGCTAATCTCATTTAGCGACGAATTAACAACGGATTATCAAGAAATTCTGCTAGCTTCGTGTGTTTTAGCGATAGATTAGCAACGACGTTCGTAGCTAATTTCAATTTTTTTTGTAGTGAATTTTGTCTTTAACCATGCTAATGCATGCATTAATAGCCTTGGTATTGCTAATATCATGGTTTGTTATGTATTAGTTATACATAGGATAATACCAAATAGGTTGTATAATTAATACTTGCATTAGTAATACATAAGTTGAAAAAGTGTACTGAATAAAGAATTAATAATAACAAAAGTTAATACAAACATTATTTTCTCTAATACATCCTACCAAACGACCCCTTAATAGTTTACTCTAGCTTTGCCCTAAAGCATCGGCACGTCTAAGATGTCACTATTTTTCTGTGAACATGGTGGGAGGAGTTGATTTTTAGTTTATGAAAAGTAAACTGTATTGTAGAAAAAAATTTATTTCCAACAATGTCAGATAGGCACTTATACAACCACTTGACTTTGCCAAAGAATGTGTAACCTAAGTAACTTGTAATTATTTATAATTATGAAAGTCAATATCAAATGTGGTTAGGATCTAGTCCTCTCTAATTAGGCCTTCAGTAGGGTTTGTTTGTTTTTTAAAATTTTTATTCTCCTCCCGTTCTGATCCCCTTTGTTGAAACTATTGCTTATTTGGTACCTATGATCCTGAGGTTGTAGGAGGGGTTGCTGACCATCTGAGCAACCCCCTCTTGTCGAGTTTGGTTAATTATAGTAAAATTAATAAAAATATTGGTTAGAATTAGTTAAATAAAGAAAACATTATATCGACATTCACAATTTGAATACTCAATGAAATTAAATTCTTAAAAGTTGAAAAATTGAATAAAAATAGGATATTATCAAACATTTGAGAATGTCACGAGATAATTAAATTAAATGTCATATAAATTAGAATAGGAAAAATGTTTAGTATGTTTGAATATTAGGTACAAGTAGAGTTTGAATGCAACTGTAAAACGTTTGGAAGATGTCATAATACACGATTTGGGTAAAGTTTATTTTTTTTCAATGCCTAATTTTAGATATATTGGCCTGAAGTTAAGCACATAGCTAAGCCAACTCTTGTGGTTTCTGGTCTTCAGCAGTATTATCTACTATTATTGGGGACTAAAACGAAATAAAAATAAGTTGAGGATGTGGAATTTAAATCGGGCCATGACCGTTGGAACTGTCGTTTTAGTCCTTGAGGTTTTTAAAGTTGTGCACATGGTCCGGTAATTAAACTAAACGAATCATGCCAATGGCATGGGCATCAAATTGGATTTTATTTTTATAAAATCCTGATTTTCAGCATTTATTTCTCGTATACCATTTAATTCAAAAAAGGGAAGTGTTTTTTTACTAAATCATTTGTATTATTTGTCGAGCAAGTTAATCCTTTTTTATTCATCAAATCAATTGGCGTGGCCAAGCTATAAATCCTCTCTTTAAATTAAGATATTCCCATTTAATCACCATGTTTGTTAATATAATGAAACCTACTTCTAATTTTATTTCTTATATCATTCATTTATGTCAAGTGTACATTAACCGAAACAACCCCCCCCCCCCCCCTCCCCGCTACTGTAAAAATGTTGAATTCCTTTTTTATACTGGCGCAGATCGATTTCCCCCTCCCTACCCCCCCCCCCCCCCCAAACCGTAAGAAAAAACAAGAAACAAGACGGTCAGACAAAAGTTGATATTGCATGTAAAGGCAATCTTTCTCATAAGCACAGGTTAATTACAAATCAGATCTTCACAAAAGCTTTAAGCAGGATGAATAAAAAATTGTAATGCATAATAATAGATTTTAGGTTCGAGTTTTGAATATAAAAAAATTCTGATTGGGAGCGTTTTACTTTTAATTGAGTGAATACTCAATAACAAATGATTATATCCAAAAAAAAGAAGGTGGGTGACATTTAAAGAATTAAAATACAATGATACTGAGTGATTTTCTAGTGCATGCAACCACGCTGCTAAACAACTCATTTTGTGCCATTGGAAATTCTGTTCATGAGAAGCTCCGTTAATCAGATCTCAACTGACAAAATTACATTGTAAAGTCGACAACAAAGAATATGCTTGCATTTAATATTTAATTGGTTCAATAACTTAGGCATCACGCTCAATATTTTAAACAGAATAATTTGCCACCATTGTGATTCTCTGACATTTTTTCTCTTTGCCTTTTTTGCCTTTTCTTTTGCCCCTAACTTTTGGTCGATTTTTTTTTTCCTTTTTTTGGGATTTCCTTTTTGCAATATGGAAATAAAGAGAAAAAGTTTGTGATCTTTGAACTTTAATGAACATTACTCTACAGACTACACTCTCCACTTTGATCATTATATTAAGCATGAGTGAGATGAATTATGTGTGGGTTGTTTAATAGCCGGTTAAAGGTTAAGTTATTTATGTATTAGGAGTAATATGCCCAATATCATGTTTGATAGTATTTAAGTACTTTGTACAAAAATTTGTATAACTAATGTTATGTTTGATTACTTTTTCCACTGGGGTATAAATAATACATGGACAAGTTATACAATAAATCAATGTATTATTTGTACATACATATATATATATATATATATATATATATATATATATATATATATATATATATATATATATATATATATATATATATATATATATATATATATAT